AGGTATACACTGCAGATACAGAGAACACAGGTGAAATCGGACATAATTACAAAACTAGATAAAAACAAAACAAGTAAAACAAACAAAAATATGAAACAAGGAGCCATACAGGAACACGGGAAGCATAATTACCATGGATTATGCAACAGAATCTAGGGCACAAAACTTGTAATGTTCATTAAGTAGGGGGTGGTCTCTGGCCAGCCTCAAACCCACAATGAAAGAGATGTTCAGTTCACAGCAACTTGCTTAGCCCATTCAGCCACACGGCAGCCAGTGGCAGCATGGGAACACACGAGGAACAGAACAATACCAAAGCCAGGTACATTGGGAAAATGGGATAGCCAGTGACACCTGCAGGCCAAACTGGGGAATGACCTACAGAATAGGGCTTGACAGGGACTGATCCTGACATTTTAACTGTAAGAATGACAATATTGAGGCCCTGTGTGAAATTTTCATGTTTTATTATTAGATGTGTGCTAATATTAGCATATTAGCAAAAATGATAACATGAGTATCAGCATAACAGCTCAGCATTATATGAGTCATCCATAACATCCTATCCAGTACAAGGTTGTGGCATGAGAAATAGTCTAATATCAATAAGTCATCTGTCATTATGCGACAGGTTGCTAAGCATGTCCAGCAACAGTCTTCTTAATACTATGATAATCAAAACCCCCTTGCTGCAATGTATTGCCACCAGCAGTTGTTTGAGAAAGAGTTTGTGCTTCTTGTATGTTACCTTAATAAATCAAGTAGTGATTCATTGTGGTTAGATAAACCCTAACCTATCCTGGGTTATTCCCTGCCTTGCACCCTTAGCTTCTGTGATAGACTCTGAATAGCCATGACCCTGAACAGGGCATGGAAAATGAATGGATTGATTGATGAATTGTCAATAATACATGCTAGTCCAGTTAAGGCCAGATTATAGCAGGAAGAATCATATTAACATCAGTTTGTTTGGAACATTTAAACTGTTTTCCTATGTTTTAACACAAGAGTCTGTTGTCTGTAAGCAGATGTTCCCCCAGTTTTGGAATGCATTACAGCTTCACTTGGCTGGTGCTTTTCCTTCATACAGCTGAAGGCACTGGGTCTGCACCCATATATAGTACCATCACCTTACCTTTCTCCTACATACCTCAAGACTCAGACGCTCAGAACTATTGTGACCTGATTTCCCTGGGCTGTCTGAAATAGCTCATCAGATGGCTTTCCGGTGTGCAAATAAAAAGTCTAACTGAATTTTTAATTAAACAGCAAGATAATGATTCCAAATCATACTTGCTCTAGTGTTGTACTGTGTTCATTTCTCAGCCAGGCTGCAGCCAGGAGCCGAATGTCTAGTGGGAGAAGCAATGTCAAATAGGAAGGGCAATGTCGAGTAGCAGGCACAATGTGGGAGAGGTTTATCATCTGTTATCATCTGATACCCTAACCCTCGTTATAACCCCCTCCTTCCCCTCGTGATAAACCCCTCCCACTTGACACTCGGCTCCCGTCTGCAGAGATATACTTAAGGCTCGTAAGGTGTCCCGCTGAGAGTTCGTGTTTATCCACAATTCCCGCCGAGAGAGAGAGAGAGTTGCTACTGGTGTCCTTTTTTGCCTAAAAATAATGATGTAAATGAATGGTTGTCAGGAACAGGTCCCAGATACCACACATATCTTGAAATGACATTGATTCCATTTCAGACAAAAAGGTTGAAACAATGTTGATCTTCAATGTTTCATTTTATATCAACATTGAATCAAGGTTTTGCCACCATCAGTTTTTCAAAATTGAAAATCTGACCAAAAATTTATTCAGTTTCAACATTGATAATTTAACACTGACCATAATTCAACGCATTTAACTATAATTCAACGTTAAAACAGTAACACAGTGCTATCTGACCGGGTACATTTCATAATTCATAATCCGTGGCTAATATCCACAAATAGTAATGAAATATAATGTGTTTCTTTTACTGTGGCGTTAACATCGTTAAAGATACTGACTCCGATTAAATTAGTAGTAAACGCTCCGGGTTATGGAGAGCGGCTCATGATCGCTTTATTGAAGTACTTATTAATATGGTGAGGAGCTTCATAATTATAGGTTTTAGATGTTCCTGAGGCGCTAATTGAAACGTATTCCGGCACCAGTAGGACTGACGCTTCTCAAGGTGCCTGAGCTGCACCACAAAACGTACCTTCTCTGGCACCAGAAAGGTCCTGGAGATCACCGCAACATCGATTAAGGAAGGGTATTAGAGGGCTAAAAATAGTTTTTGACTGCAATGAAGCTTTCTTGCCTCCGCGGGTACATCAGCTCTCCGCCTGAATATTTGAGGGCTTGAGTGAGACTTCTTATAAAAGCGAATCGGATTCCGGTATATATGAAAAGCCCAGTACATTGAAGAAGTATTAAGAGGTACACATATTAAGATGAGTGGAATAGGATGCGTGTTTCAGTAACAGCATAACAAATTCAATCATATTTCAACCGAACAAAAATAGTATACAACGTGCGTAAAAAATACTGTATTTGCAAAAATGATTAAAAACATGTGACATTTTCATATTTGTAAATATTGATATCCAGCAGGTAAAATAGCTTTTCATTACAGCACTTAACTACAAGACTTACAATTCAAGTAGGCTGGAGCAGAAGTACTTAAGATAATTGCTTAAGTTTAAATTAAATATTCACGTGTCTGACTGGATAAAATGTACAGCAGCAAATAGCTCGATTCCCTGTAGGCTAACAGCGTCGACTGGGCGCCCAGCAATATCAGTAACTGGAGCCCATCCTGCCGTAAATGGGATGCCAGACACGTACGGTGCACTTTATAGCGGCACCATACAAAACAAAGTCTCACGTTGCACGGAGGATCAGCAGTTTGCCTATGTGACACCTGCAAGGCTGTGGGTTCCAGTATGGCTGAAGTCCAGTGGCCATTTGCCTGCTGTTCAGGTGTGTATGTGTGTGTGTGTGTGGGTGTGTATGTGCCTGTGTGTTTTGTGGTGGAATAAGACCTTATACAGGGCTTAAATCCTCCAGGATGGACTGCTTGTGCATGACCTCCATAAATCACCAGTTATGTGAAAGAGATGGATATTTACATAAATTATTTGTTGTTTTTAAAAAAGCATTCTCATGACCTGTGCCTATCAGGACAAAGTAATTGAAACCCCATTAGGACATCAGACTGGGAGGCAGCTGGTCCCTTGGCCGTAATGGTTTGTGCTGTTTTTGGTTCTGTGCCTTTCCCTCCCGGGCGTCTCTTCCAGCATACCTCTGGTCTGGTGTGATTTTCAGCCTGACCAAGGACTGTAATGTTCCTTCTCAAAACTTCACTACCGATGATGACAGGCTGCCACTCTAAGGGTACAGTAACTGTAATAGCAATGCAGTAACACAAATATGGTTTGCTTGTTTTGGATTTGGTGCATATACAGCATGAATTATTTATGATTGATAATTATTATAGAGGAGGATATAGAAAGCACACACACCCGGATAAGTGTTCCTGCTGGAACAGAGGTTTCAGAGTGGAACTTTGATGGGATTTGCTAACAACTAACACTCTGTTGTGCTGAATTAACAGTAATAATAAGATATTAATCAGTAATATCTGTTATTATTACAGATGTTACAATTATTACAATGTTATTTATCCAAAGCAATGTACATATTTGAGAACGAGAGACAGATCATCCCTATAGCATTTGGGGATTAAGGCCCTGGATGGTGAAGTCACTATGTTGAGTCTGGGATTCAAACCAACACCCGTCTGATCACAGCATAGCATCCTAACCTGCCTACCCACACACCACTCTACACATGCCTGTCCAGTTTCTCTGACTGCATCACGTGCTGTGGGGGGCCAAGTAGGGGTCTAAAAAGCATAGGTTTTTTTTGCGGGGGGTTGCAAGAACAGCTTTGGAGAGGATTCAATTTTATTTATATAGCACATTTGGGCAGGGTTAAAGGGCTTTACATTATCCCTGCACCTTCATTTCCTCTATCGACTTTCTTTACGTGCTAAGTGACAGGTTTACATTTGGAGTTAGCCATCCTGCTGAGGCCTGTTTGCTGCAGGGTGCGGGCGCTATTGTTCCCACTAATATACAGTGTGATTGCAGACAATGCCAAGTCCTGCAATTTCACCCGATTCAGTGATGTGATTTTTTTTGTTTATATAGGAGGAAAGAGCAAAAGCGGATTGTGAGATTTCTTAAATAAATGACAGGAAAGGATGGAAGTTTTTTCATGCAAGTTCAGAAACAGGTAGAATTATGTATTCATAGAAAACAACAGACAGAGCTTGAAGTGGGTTTTTTTCTGAAATGCCCAAACCAGTGCCAGAGCTCTTGGTTTTGCATAGTAAGCTGTAACTTGTCAGATGGTGAAATGTGACTTGTGATATGATGGTATTCAAGTGGGGTTGAATTAACACTGATGTTTTTGGCTGTAGGTCTGTGGAAAACACTGCCACACCAAGATTAGTGCAAATTCTTGCTATTGTTGTATGCAGACCATATTGTTTGTTTGAAATGATGTATGCTATTAAGGACTTTAGAATTTCATCTGCTGAAATTCATACAGCCTGGGTCCCGCAGATAAAATTTTAGAAACAAATAGAATATATAGAAACCGAAGATGCCCCTTTCTGTAAAATTTTCTCTCTCAGACTGACAGGAAAGCCATCATTGTCACACTGGCACAGGCAGCAAGATACTGATATAGTGAATGCAAATGGTATCTTGTGAATTCTTCAAGAAAGCCACCAGAAAGTCAATATGTTACGTATTGGTTTTAGAGCTCTGTGCGATTGGATTTTTTTTTTCTTCAACCACAGTTGTAAACCGTAGCCAAGGACAGCAAGCTGAGGCGTTTATATAATGCAAAGGGAAGCTATTTATAGCACCATGTTTGAACTATCCAGGTGCACCCAAAGTGTGGGATGGATTGACTAACCCCCCCACCACGCCTTGTGTTTACAGCCTACGTGTGTTTCCTGGTGACAGCTCTGGGGGTGACGGCTGGGGTCCACCGACTGTGGAGCCACAGGGCCTACAAAGCCAAGCTGCCCCTCCGGATCTTCCTCGCCGCTGCTAACTCCATGGCCTTTCAGGTAAATAAGGGATGTAGAGGGCCATGTCCTCAAAGCACCACTGTGTGGCGCTGTCCTGCCCCCATATCACAGGGTTGTGTTTTCGGGTGAAGCACGGCACCCGTTTGCCCGTGACCTGTTCTGACACTGATTTCCTGTTACCCACTGAGTTGGCTGATGCATAAGTCACCTGGAGATAGGTGCCGGCTGACCGGAAAGGATGTAAGTGCAAAATTGGCACCTGGTCACATGAGCCTCACTTTGGTACAGAGTTCGCCGAGGTGAACAGCCTAAAGATACTAACAGTAAATTACGTGCATTTTAATCACACGCCATCTAAATGTACGGCAGTGAGCAAAATATACATTTCAGTCCATTAAATAATTTAGGCAAATATCTTGAAGAGTTTATAGGCAACATAAGTAATAGCAGCCAGGGGTCCAGCCCCTGTTCTACTAGTTATCCATAGATTATTTATAAACATAGATGCCATTTTTTTTCTTCATGTACTTCAAATCCTGCTTGGGTATATATATCTAAGGGTGTCAAGGAAAGGAAAGTCAATAAAAAAAAAACAAATGTACCCAGATACACACGTGGCTATTTACATACAGTAGATTGTAATACTTGTGGTATAATACAACCAAGATATCATACATTTTTGTTAAAATATTTCTTTTGTGGCACACAGTTGTATTGGTGTAGGTTTGAAAGCCAACCCACGGGCCACTGCTGCCAATATTGAAGCTATTTAAAGTTTCTGAAGTGGTGTGTTGATCTTTTTGCTGGTATCCTAAATGAGTTCGGTGAGTAGAACCCTTAAAATGGCATTTGTACATATGTTTGGACATAGCGTGGTGAGTACATACATGTGTATATAATAATGCATCACATACACTCACCTAAAGGATTATTAGGAACACCTGTTCAATTTCTCATTAATGCA